CATGTGGGATTCCTTGGTCGGGCTCCATTGCCCGCGCGCCATGATTTCGACGAGCGCGTTTGCTATTAGGTGGCTGGACACGCCCAGGTCCAAACACTGGAGAATATCTACCATGATGCCCTCAAACCTGAAAGATATAATATTGAAGAAGCTACTGAGATGCCTGCTGCCACGTCGGCAGCTCAACAGGTGACTGTTATGCGCGACAACTGTTGCTCTCCAGCCCGCCCCAAGATCAGCCCGAGAGAAGCGCGCGTCGCCTCCTGCGAGGGTCGCGCCGCGCAAGTAGCAGCACTCCGCGTTGTTCCACCTGTTGAGGTGCAAGAAATCCGAGCAGTACTCCCAATCACCTCGCATCTGAATGGTAGCGAGTAGCGAATGTTCTCCCATAGCACAACGTTCTGCCTGCCTCTAGGTGAGGCACGCCGTTGTGCTGAAGAGCGGGCATCACGCCTTTGAACAATGCGTTGGAACTCCAGGCAATGCGACCCACCATCTGCTCGAACATGTCTAAGTCGAGATCCGACTTCTTGAATGCCGTGACGATATCTCTCGTAACAGTCGTGTCGCCATGGCCTAACAGGCCATTGAATTGAAGCGTGAAAAGGCAGTCGGCTTTCGACGTCGGGGCAGCATCGCCATGTAGTCCCACAGGAACAGTAGTGGGCGAGATACGCGAAGCATTGCACTGTAGGTCGGGTGGCCCCGAAGGGCGTGCCAGAATTGGGCGGTCTCGCCATCTTCTCCAGTGATCCGTTGTTTGAACACCAAAGGGCCCTTACGGTACCATGCCTCCAGCGTGTCGATCGGGTCGACGAACGGGTGGAAGATCACGTCGCCGTTGGTGTTCTTCAGTTCTGCCCAGCTGATCTGCGGTGCTCGCGCTGGCGTACCAATGGCGCGACACACTGCCCTGAACGCGTGCTTGGGTTGCAGGTTGGATGTGCCAGCGTAAGCGCCGATGTTCTGCGCTCCCTGGGAGGCCGCGGCCTTGGCGAACTTGATCGCGCCAGGGCTGCTGATGGATCCCGTGGCCCATCTCCTCCGCAAGAGGCCTGTGAATTCACGAGCGTCTCCTCCGCAAGGCGTCGCACCCTCAAGGTCTTCGACGCGGCGCCTGATGCCCCTGCCTTCGGCGGGCGCAGCGCTGCTGGCCTCCTCGTTGCACCGCCGAGGCGCCATCCGCTTGCGAAGCCCACCGTGGGGAACTCTTGGGACGCCATCTGCATGGCAGCTCAGGCACCAACCCCTGGCGGATGCCGTGGCCTCGTGGAGGCATGAGTAAGCACACGGTGAATAGAAGCATTTGGGCGCATAGTCCACCCAGCGCCGGCGGCGCTGGGGTTTGAGCCAAAAAGGCTGCAGGATAAAGCGGGGGGGGAAGGGGGCGGGGGAGGGGCAGGGGGAGCAGCAATGACGTTCTGCATGTGTTCCAGTTTGCGAAAAGCCGCGGCTCGAGGGGCGGGGGGGGGGGGCAGGGTAAACATTTTGCATTGTCCCCCTGCTCGCCCCTCGCCCTCGCGAGTGCACTCTCTCTCGTGGGTAGCTCTTTAAGTCAGTCAGCCCAGTCACTCAGTCAGTCCAATCAGTCAGTCAGTCCAGTCAGTCAGTCTACTCGTTGATGCATCAACCAGTCAGTTCTTTTAGCCACCATTAGATGCATACTCAGTAAGTCCAGTTAGTCAGCCCAGCCAGTCCACCAGCCAGTCAGTCCAGTCCATCAGCCAGTTCAGCCAGTCAGTCCAGTCAGTCCAGTCAGCCAGTCAGTCAGTCCAGTCGGTCAGTCCAGTCGCTGGTGCATCAACCAGCCAGTCCAGTCAGTCACCGTCGGGCGCCTACTCACTCAGTCAATCCAGTCAGTCCAGCCAGTCCAGCAGCCAGTCAGCCCAGTCAGTCAGTCCAGTCAGTCCAGTCGGCCACGAGTTTGATGATGTTGTGGATGATGATCACAGTTGATAATCTCTACGCTCGCTCGCCGCCCCGTCCAGCGAGCACGCCGACGCATTGCCATGTGTCCCTGCACCTGGCTATCACCCCCGTCTGTGTGACTGGCCGTCGAGACGGGCCGAATGCAGGACATCAGATCTTCTGCTTGTTCTGCTGGCTCTCCTTCGGGTTGAACTTGTTGAACCACTCGACAGAAGAGTTCAGCGCATCGAAGGCCTTGTCGATTTTCATGCTCAGTGCCAACATCGTGGCCTCGTCCGCCCCCTGCAAGACGGCGTCTTCGACCGACACAAAGATCTGCGTCATCTCCTTGACGTTGTTGGCGATCTCCCTGTTGAGCTCACCTAGGAACTTCCCGCCCTTCGAGTCGATGAACATCTGCTTGGCGATCGTCAACGCTTTCCCGATGTTGAACACTACCTTTTTCCCGTCCGTCCTCAGTGCCTTGAAGGTCGCGCTCTCCTCGGGCTTCACCTCCGTTGGCTCGCCTTCCTCCTGCTTCACAGCGACCAAGCCCGCACCCGCAGCCGAACTTCCAGCGTTGCATGCCCTCATGGATGCGAATGATGCCTCCGCTTCTATCTGCCTCTCCTCGGTGTCAAGGTCAGCCTTGGTGCCGAGCTCGTGCGTGTCCCGCTCCTCGTCGCCCTCCTCGCGGCTGTCCAAGTTGACTGCGTACTCCCTGCTCCACGGCCCGTCCTTCCCAGTGTCGCGATCGGGGCGCCATTTGGTTGGGTCTTTGTCGAAAACCTCTGCCTTCTCCTTCGCCTTCTGCTCTCCGAATTCCGAAATCATTTTGGTGAGGCTTCACCACACGACCTTTTTCTTGTTCTTCTTGAGAAGGGTGACCGACTTCTTGGACTTCGCCGTGCCTCCATTCTTGAGCTTATCTGCGAACCAAGTATGGAAGTACTCACGCCTTTTTCCAATCGGCCACCCGTCGTACGTTTTCTTCGCCCCGTTCGTCTCGAGCCAGTGCACCATGGACGCGCGAGCTCTCTTGGCCTCGTCGGCGTCCTTGAGGAGATCCTTTGCCTTCTCGAGTTCGTCAGCTGACACCGTCGGCGCCTCCAACGTGCGTTTTTTTCGGCGGCTTCGGAGGTTCCCACGGGGCGGCTGGCCCCAGCACTGAGCGCGCTCTTGAGCCAAAGCGGCTACGGCCAAGGGGCCCTTCCCACGGGGGCCCCCTAGGCCCCTGGGGCCAACAAAAACCAGGTGAAACAAAAACAGACAAAAAACAGACAAAACACAGTCTGTATTCCATCCCGGTTTTGTGCCGGCTAGCCGGCCCTGGGTACTCTAACGGACACAAGCACAGGGTGAAACGCAGTATGTGTTTCTATGTTTTTTCTTTGTTTTTTTGTGTGTTTCTCCCAGGGGGGCCGGGCGGGACGGAGGGGGGAAGGAGAACACAGGGGGGGGGATGGGGAGGAGGGGGAGCTCAGAAGGGGGGGTGGACGGGAACGAAGAGGGGTAGGAGTAGGACGTGGGTGCAATCCGAAAGGTCACACCGTATACGTGCGCTAGCAACGGTATGCGATCCCCAAACAGCGCGTGCATTCCCCAAGCAGCGCTTGCGTTCCCCAGGCAGCTATATATCATCCCCATAGCAGTGCTTGCACGTATTCCCCAAACAGCGAAACGGCATTATTCAAACAGTGGTTGCGTTTTCGCATGCTTGCCTAAGTGCCCTCGGCTGTTACTTCACCTCTAAGGTGCCTAAGGTGCCTAAGGTGCCCAACCCTGCAACTGCTTCCATTCTCCAAACAGTGCTTGCACCTTGTAGCGGGCTCCCCAAACAGTTGCGCTCCCCAAGCATTGATTGCATTCACCAAACAGCGCTTGCACTCCCTAAAGCGTACAGCCGCAATGCTTTTCCAGACTGTAGTCTCCAAGCACTTTTTTCCCGAGCACGCGCTGCTGAAGAGCAACCGTCTGCCACGCACGCTGAAGTATCCTCGAAGTGGTGCCTTCGCACCGCTGGGCGAGCCTTGTGACTCGACGACTTACTCATGGCACTCCTTGGCCACGATCACGGCTGGCCTCTCGTCGAGGCTGGCGCTGCTGCTGGAGGCGAAGGCTCTCTGGACGAGGTGAAGGTGCTCTGTGGGTTCCAGGTGCTCTCGTCGACGACCTCCTCAAACATCCTGCGAATCACCTGTTTGGACGCGAACTTGATGTAGGCCTTCTTGTACTTGCGCTGGGCCATACCACCGCCCGACCTCAGTTTAGCCTCATTGATGTCTAGCTGCGACCGCGGATTGCGCAACCCCCTGGAGAGACAGCCGATGTTGGGGAGAATCGAACAGCCATCTTCGCGGACTCCTTGAATTACTGCGTCCGAGTAGGCGTTCACGAACGAGAGGGCCTGTTTGTATTGGATCTTGAGAGACGTAGCAATTCTCTGGACGAAGGCACGCTTGTTGCCACGCTTAGGCTTCCTACCCATCTGGAGGGTGGAAGCTCTGGGGATCAGCTCGGTGGTGCTGGCTCGAGCCTAGATGTCTCCAGTTGTGGTGACGTGGGGTGCTGGTGATAGTGCAATGGTCACGCTGGCGATGGTGATGATGGTCATGATGCAGACGATGCTTTCACCCCCAAATGGGGGCTGAATTCCCTAAGCAATGCTTGCATGCCCAACACAATGAACAGACCCGTTCCAAACAGTGCTTGCACGTATGCGTTGTGCTCCTAGGGCGTCCTCGATTGAACGTTTTACTCCTAAAGCGTCTTAGTCTTGATCGCCCAAGATGGCTCACGAGTTCCTATGATCTCTTCTATCGACGGCTGCATTCCCAAAGCAGTGCTTGCACATTCGTGCACTTGTTGTAGTTCCCCCATCAGCGCTTGCACTCTCCAAGTAATGCGTTTGTTCCCGAACCAAATCTTGCATCCTCCGTGTAGTCCGATGCGTGGATGGTGGTGATGATGTTGACGATGAAGACCACTGTGCACGCAACCGCGTCAGACCCGTCTACAGCGGGCTAGCGGCTAGCATATCCTTGAGGTGGCGCCGTCGCGCCGCTTGGCAAACCGAGAAGGGCGGATCGCTCTCACTCGACCGAGTCCTCGATCTGCACGACCTCGTGATCCGCGACGGCCTGGCTCTCTTCTTGCTAGGTCTCTTGCAAGGTATCTACCTGCTCGAGCGCCCTGTCGTAGGTGTCCGCGGGGTCCGACGCAGTGCGGCGCAACTTCTTGGCCTCGACAGGCTGCATCAAGTTCTGGACAACCTCCTTGACTTCCAGGAAACGTACCACCAAAGGGTCCAGCGCGTTGCCGACGAACGCATCGAGGTCGAACGCACTCTCGGGAGGTGGGCCTCCAGGGAATACCGACTCGAAGGTGCTGTAGGCGATGGTAATGGCGTTCGACAGCGCATCCATTTCCTCAGCCACGGACCTTGTATACTTGGTGTCCAGCTGGCCACCCGACGCCCACGCCCCGAGGAGAAACATCATGTTCTTGCACTCGTTGGCCACCTTGTCTGCGCGGAGGTCGTCCCACCGACTGTCGGGCCCAGGCGGACCCCAACGGCTTTCCGCGCCAGTAGCCACATGCACGGTGCTCTCGACATCAATCGTCGTTGGAAGCCGCGGTCCGAGCGAAGAGCTAGCACCTTCCTCCATGAAAGCATCACCCTGCTGCTCTAGCTCCAAGAGGTGCTCACGGTCGAGGTCAGACATGTTTCGTAGTATTTACTTCTACTGCGTGGGAACGTGAGCCAAAATGGCTATGGATGACAATGGCAATGATGGTGGTGTTGCTGCGTATGACCTCACCCTCGTCACCATCATGGTGATGATGGTGATGATGATGGTGATGATGATGATGCTGATGATGATGATGATCATCATCATCGTTGTTAGGTTCACTATCAGCATCACCGTCACCGTTAACATCAGCACACTCCTGATCACAGCCACCCATCATCTTTACCAGCCATAGGCGGAAATACGAGGAGGACAACATGACGAGGTTTGAGGATGAGAGGGCTAAGGGTGAATGCGACGGGCGAGGAGGGCGGAGGGAAGGAGGAGGCCGAGGACGAGGATGGTTAGCGTGATGATCTTGGGGGGCGAAGTGTGTTCATCATCGGAATTGCCCCTAGGAAGTCGAACTGTTGCTGGCTCCTCGGAACCGAGCGCCCCAGCGTGTCAACGCACGCGTGCAATCAAAAGATGCCTGGGAAGCCATGCCTACTGCCTCATTTTCTTTTTCGGACGCCGGTACTTGTTGCGGAGCTCGTCCGTCCACGCAGTCGCTGCCGCCTGCGCTGCCTCCCTGACCTTCTGCGGCGACACGCCTGTTTTCTTCATCTGGGTGATCTGTTTGCCGTAGACCCTGCTGTGCTCGCGGTTGAGGAACTTGCGCCACTCATCGTCCGAGATGTTCGCAGGGTCAGGCCGTGTCGCAGGGGCTGCTGCGCCGTCGGACTTCTGCTCCTGGGCTGCTGCGTCGACGGGCGCGACGTCGCCGATTGCCTCGGTGCCCTGCGTTGCTGCTTCCACAGGCCCGTGCTCAGGAGGTGCGGCCGATGGACGCTTCTTCGCAGCCGCTGGTCTCCTCTTAGCAACCCTCGGCTCCTTACCCGCCTTCGCCTTCTCAACCGCCTCCTCCTTCTTTCTTTTCTGCAACTCTTTCCAATCCTCAGAGCCTGGCGGCGTGAGGGACTTCTCCAAGAGCTGCTTCACGCCCGTGTTCGCCAAAGGCGACGCGGCTGGCACCAGCTCCTTGGTGTTGGCCTCCTTGGTGTCGGCCTCCTGCGTGCCGACGTCCTTGGTGTCGGGCTCCTTGGTGTCGGTGTCGGCCTCCGCGTCGAGCTTCTTGGCGTCGGCATCCGCGTCGGCCGGATTGTTCACCTGGACCTGTGGTTGGAGAAGTGCGACCAAGTCAGCGTCGGTGCTCGTAAAGAGCTCCGAGCGATCCCAACTGTCGGCGATCCCCTCATCGTCACTGCTGCTGACGCTGACTGTGCTTTGCCCTGGCGCGCGTGTCGCCGTCGCTGGCCTCGGGGACGTTGGCGTGACCACGATCAAATCCATGGCGACGCTGAAGCTCTCCACGAACGCGGCTGGGATTCCGCGCCCCTTAGCCTTCTGTGAGGCCAGCTGGGACACCAACGCGCGCAAGCGGAATGCGCAAGCCTCCGCCTCGTTCTTCTTCACTTGCATCCCGTGCTGCTCGAAGTACGCCTCCGCGCCCGCCGTGAAGGGCACCTGGAGTGCCTGCACGCCGCCTGTGCGCTGCAGCATGCGCGAGACGGCCTTGGCCAAGGGCTTGGCCGCGGCCCAGTTCGGGCTTCGCCCGAACGTGAGCTTGTCGTACAAGACGAACTTGCCGTCTACGAACTGGGCAGCAGGCACACGGGACAGCACCTCCGCCACGTCATCCTTCGACAAGGTGGCCCCCCGAGTGGCTGGCATGGCGCTCCAGGTCTTCTGGAGCCTCGAGCCAAAATGGGCTACGGATGTTGGCTCGCAGTTTCTGCTTTGTTTTCGTAGCGCCCCAAGATAGCTCAAATATCCCCCTAGGTCGGCCCAAGATGGTTTCAACACGTATGGGGGCGACCACCGACGACCCAAGATGTTTTCAAGAGAGCAGGCCGCCAGTCCCCACAATTGCTACCTCATACGTAGTCGCAGCTGACAACAGACCATGGCTCGCAAGGCTTCTTGTCTTGCCTGGTCCTCATCCACCTACACAGGAGACAATAGGACATCTATATTTTATGAGGGTTCTCGTCTGTGTTGCTGGATTGGGTCCTCGTTTATCTTCTGGGGTTCGGTGCCTCTTTGAGTCATTCAGTCCAGTCAGTCAGCCAGTCAGCCAGTCCAGTTAGTCAGTCAGTCAAGTTAGTCAGTCCAGTCAGTCCACTCGGTGATGCATCAATCAGTCAGTCCAGTCAGTCACTCTTGGATGCATGCTCAGTCAGTCCAGTCAGTCAGTCCAGTCAGTCCATCTGCCAGTCAGTCCAGTCCGTCGGCCAGCGAAGCCAGTCAGTCCAGTCAGTCAGTCCAGTCAATCATTCCACTCGTTGATGCATCAACCAGTCAGTCCAGTCAGTCACCCTTGGAAGCCTACTCACCCAGACAGTCCAGTCAGTCAGCCCAGTCAGTCCAGCCAATACACCAACCAGTCAACCCAGTCACTCAGTCCAGTCAGTCCAGTCAGTCACGAGTTTGATGATGTTGTGGATTTTGATTACGATGGATGCCTTTTTTCATCCCTGAACGCGTCCGCGACTCCGTCGGACAATCTAATTCGTCGGGAGTGTGATCAGAAACGCTGGCATTTTTGGCCACGGGCCCGACATCTGATGAGACCTGGTTGCAAGTGAGCCCCACCAGCCATCTGGGCGACAGGTGGTCTAGGGAGATTTCTCTTCCCTCTTCCAACAATCCCTTCTTCCCCTTCGGGGTGGTGTTTACCCCTCCCCCCACCCTTCCCCTGGACCTGGACGGGGCGTTTCGCGGGGAGATGGAGCGCCCAAGATGGCCTAAGATGGCTCCAAGAGGGCCTCCGAAGCTCCAAGTTGGCCTCCAGGATGGATCAATCCGGCCGAAGAATGTCAAGGCAAGCTTCGACATGCCTCCAAGACGCCGCAAGAGGGCCACAAGACGGTTCCAAGTGCTCTCGGAGACCCCTCAGGGCTTGCCCAATAGCCCACAATATTTCAAACATCTGAGGGAATCGCTGATGTGTGCCTTCTCTTCGCTTCCGATGCGCTTCTGAGGCCTCAAGATGGCCCCAATATGGCCCAAGGGCGCTCCAGTAGGGGCCCAGGACGCCCCCAAGACGGCCCCAAGATCGCCCAAGACCGCCCTAAGAGGAGCCCAAGAGCGCATCAAGATGCGGGCCCCAGGGGGGGGAGGCGCCGATCGGAACCCACCCCTCTTTTGACCCATAGCCTCCAAGATGGCCCCAAGAGGCGCTCCAGGGCTCCCACAAGAGTCCCAGGAGGGTCGCAAGAGCGCCCAGAGAGGCCCCAAGATGGCCCCAGAAGCCCCCAAGACGGCCCTAAGACGGCCCAACTATGGCTCAAGATGGCTTCCAAGACGCCCAAGACGGCCTCCCAAGAGAGCCCGAGATGCCTCCAAGATGTCTCCAAGGCGGCCCAAGATGCACCCAAGACGGCCCAAGATAGCCTCAGGATGGCCCACGACTGCCCAAGACGACCCCTGAGGGGCCTCCAAGACGGCCCTTTGATAACGAGGAAGTCTCATGCGGGAGGATCGTGCCTGAAAGGGCTCAGGCGGGAGGTTCTTGTTCTCTCTGCACACCTGCACACCCCTCGCATTCCTTCCTTCCTCCCCTATCCCTCCTTGTCTCTCACACGTTCTCATGATCATGATCAGCATCATCATAATCATCATCACTCACACACCCACCCACTCATCATCATCAACACCGTCATCATCGCCATCGTCGCCATCACCATCTCACGCAGTTACGCAGCCATTCACACACTCTCGCGCACACACACACATTCACACATACGCACCTTGAGGAATGCGGGAGCCTCGTCTGTGAGAGCATTTCGAGGAAGTCTCAGGCGGGAACCCCCTCCCTATGGGGCCGCCACCTCCATGTTCGAATCCGAGTGGGGTCATCGGAAACTTGTAACAATCGTCACTTTTGGGCTTCTTGTCTAGAATATGGAAGAAGTCTCAGGTGGAAGGCGCCCGCTTAGGATGTTCAGGTTAAGAGGGCTTCTTAAGCTTCGATGGATAGGGAGGGCCCATCTTGGGTGAATATTGAAAATGGCGCGGCGGCGTTTTTCAAAGAAACACGCCGCAGGGCGTCGGTTTTCTTGAAGGCCCTTCAGGGCCAAGTCGGAAATGACGCCTTCAGGGCTCTGGGATAGTATGTTTTTGCAATGGATGGTGGGGGGTGCCCGCATGGTTCCTGGTTGGCTACCAGTCGCCTGGGGGAGGGGGTGTTTATCAATAGGGAGCAGTGATAAACCCTTCCCCGAGGGGGAAGAGGAAACTCCTTAAACCACCTACGCCCAAAGGGCTGGTGGGACTTCGGGGTTTGGGGTTTGGGTTTGTGGTTTGGCACGCTGCTGTTTTTCTGGTCGCGCCGTGGGGCCTCAGGGGCTGGCGGCGCGCACAAGGGCGCGAACATCGCGCTCCGTGCTTCTGTGGGCATGGGGCTACGAGTGGACGGGGTCGGAGGACCGCGCCGCAACGCCGATGCATCAGCGATGAGGTGCGATCCCCCCGAGGCTTGGGCCCGCGGAGGCGCCACTCTTTGGGGGCAGGTTGCGCGGAGGCGCGAAGTTATGGCCGCGCGTTTCGTATCGGGGGGCACTGCGCGCGAGGTCGCGTGGCCCCGGAATGGGGGAAGGGTCGGAAGAAAGATGAACGGAGGGCGAGTTGGGACAACGGTAGTTTGCCTTCCGGCCCCGATCGACGCCACGGCTGGACGCAGCTCGGAATCATGGTGCGTTTGGACCCCGGGAAGGGGTCCGGGAACCGATGTTGAGCCGCCGTTGTCTCAAGGGGCCCTACTTGGAAAATGGAGGCGGCGCCATCACCACATTGGGTGCCACCGCCAGCGAGAGGGTGCACGAGGCCTCCCCGAGCTGGAATGTCTCGAGTGGGGGAGGAGGAACCACACCACCAGGACCCCTTCTGGCTCCTCGCGCGGGTGTTGATGATGCCACTTTCCATTGTTCCTATCTGTGGGAGGGGGCGGCCGTCTGGGAAGGCAGAGGCCTTCTCAGATCGCGCTCCCAGGAGCGCCCCTCGCAGGGGGCCCTGCTTGGAAGCTCTCTGCCGTCTCAGAGGCCCTCCCCCCCGCGCACCCGCTCCCTTGTGCGCGCAGCCGGGCCGAGATTGGCGGGGCCAGTCCTGGGCCTGGGATCGGCGCAGGCGCACTCATGGTAGGGCGCTGGGTTCGTACGGCTGGCTCGCGCCGCGTTGACGCAGCTGCGATCCCAGCGCGGTCGTTCACGTCGCCATTGGCCCGGAGCCGGCCGACATCGAGCGATCGGTGATATCGGAGGGCCGCGGCCGTTCAAGGTCGAATGGTCCACGCGGTGTCAGAAGCCGTCGCCGAGGTCTCGGCGCGGACCCGCCGGACCCAGTCCTCCAGCGTCGTGACCTCGCTCGTGGCATGGGCCACGAGGCTCCCCGCCCCGGCCCTGGCTTCCCAGCTCTTCGCCGCGGAGCGCCTCTCTGGGCGGACCCTCCGGGGGCCACGTGGGCGGCCCGAAGGGGGTGGCATAGCCAGCCCTGAGCGCGCTCGCCGTGAGTTGTGTCGCGGCGCCTGGAGGTCCGTGTGCACCCCGTCGGAGGCCTGGAGGCTGGCACCAGCACTGATATCGGCGGTTGCCTCCGCCGAGGGCCTAGGATACCGATCTCGGTGAGGGTGGTATTATTCGGGCTGCTCAGGTGGCCGAAATGTTGCCGCCAGCACCAAAATCGAAGGTCGCTTCTCCTCTGTTGGGGACGCCGCCCCTGTGTTCCTGGACATGCGACGTCTTGCTGTCTTCGATAGGTCCCCAGAAGTCCCGACCCTCTCCCCAGGGCCGGTGCATCCCGAGTTGTTTGGGGACGGCCCTGGGGCCCAGCGAGGGCCCCTGGAGGCAGAAAGAGCCAAAAACCTCCCCTCGTGATGTTGTCGCGGCGCGAGCATGTCTGGCTTGGTGCTTCTGCCCACTGAAGGCAGCGCCGATCCCTCGGCCCGGGGTTGGCTGGGCGCCAGGGTCGGTGCCTGTGGACGGCTGCCGCCGTCCCAGGACGAGGACTTCCTGATGATCCCGCAGGCCTCGTGCAAGGGGCTGGTCGCGGGAGGGCTCCTGCGCTCGAAGCATGGGAAAGCCGTGTGTTGTTCCCCATATCCTAAGATGGGGTTATTGTTATTACTTGGACGCCCCCTACTCCTCCTTCCTCTTCTCCTTCTCCTCCCCTTCTCCTCCTATACCCAGACTTACTCATACACAGACTGACTCACACTCAGACTTACTCATACCCAGACTTACACACAACATTACTCTTACTCAGACCTACTCATGCTCAGACCTACTCCTCAGACTTACTCATGGTGAGACTCACGCACGCCCCGTTCGCGGCCGTTTTGCCGGGATGTCTGAAGCGGTTTGCTTGTTTTCTGTCCCAGTATTTTTCGCTTTCGGAGCCGATTTGGAGGATGTCTCGAGCGAGGCGCTCATTTTCACCCCCCTGAGGGGAGCCGCCAGGGGTTACCTCACGGTCCCGTTCGCGGCCGTTTTGTGGTGATGTCTCAAGCGGTTTGCCTGTTTTCTGTCCCAACATCCTTCGCTTTCGGAGCAGATTTGGAGGATGTCTCGAGCAAGCCGCTCATTTTCACCACCCTAAGGGGGGCCGCCAGGGTTATCTCACGGTCCCGTTCGCGGCCGTTTTGTGGTGATGTCTCAAGCGGTTTGCCTGTTTTCTGTCCCAACATCCTTCGTTTTCGGAGCAGATTTGGAGGATGTCTCGAGCGAGGCGCTCATTTTCACCCCCCTAAGGGGAGCCGCCAGGGGTTACCTCACGGTCCCGTTCGCGGCCGTTTTGTGGTGATGTCTGAAGGGGGTTGCTTGTTTTCTGTCCCAACATCCTTCGCTTTCGGAGCAGATTTGGAGGATGTCTCGAGCGAGGCGCTCATTTTCACCCCCCTAAGGGGAGCCGCCAGGGGTTATCTCACGGTCCCGTTCGCGGCCGTTTTGTGGTGATGTCTCAAGCGGTTTGCCTGGTTTCTGTCCCAACATCCTTCGCTTTCGGAGCAGATTTGGAGGATGTCTCGAGCGAGGCGCTCATTTTCACCCCCCTAAGGGGAGCCGCCAGGGGTTATCTCAGGGTCCCGTTGGCCGTTTTGTGGTGATGTCTCAAGCGGTTTGCTTGTTTTCTGTCCCAACATCCTTCGTTTTCGGAGCAGATTTGGAGGATGTCTCGAGCGAGGCGCTCATTTTCATCCCCTAAGGGGAGCCGCCAGGGGTTATCTCACGGTCCCGTTCGCGGCCGTTTTGTGGGGATGTCTTAAGCGGTTTGCTAGTTCTCTGTCCCAACATCCTTCGCTTTCGGAGCAGATTTGGAGGATGTCTCGAGCGAGGCGCTCATTTTCACCTCCCAGGTGGGCCAGATTTTGAGGATGTCTCGATCGGTGGCCAGACTCGTGGCACAGATTCTCTTCAGGATGCCACAGGAGGCTCCAACAGGCTCCAGGAGGCCCCAGGAGACCGCATGAGGTCCCATGAGGCATCAGGAGGCCACAGAAAGACTCAAGAGGCCACAGGATGTCCCAAGAGGCTCTAGGAAGCCCCAGGAAGCTCCGGGAGGCATCAGGAAGCCACAGGAGGCCCCAGAAGGCTAGAGGAGAAGCGCCAGGAGGTTTCGGAAGGCAACAGGAGGCCCCGAGAGGCCCAAGGAGCAGGAGGCCTCAGAAGGCAACCGGAGTGGCTCCAATCCCATGTGTTTTACGTATGCTTCTATAGATTGGGCTTCACCTGGAGCACGAATCCTTGATGTTATTCGTACGTTTCTATATATTGTCCTTCTCCTGTGTACTTATGTCCCTATAGGGCCTCTCCTGGGGCACGAGTCCTTGGTGTTTTACGTGTGTTCCTATAGATTGCCCCCTTCTCCTGTAGCTCCAATGCGCAATGTTTTATGTACGTCTGTTGCTATAGATTGGGCCTCTCATGGGGCAAGAATCCTCCCTAGGAGGTCCCAGGAGGCCCCAGGAGGCCCCAAGAGGCTCCTGGAGGCTCCGGGAAGCCCCAGTAGGTTTCAGGAGGCCCCAGGAGGACCCAGGCTCATGCGCAGAGACGCGCTCGTACTACTGAGGCTCATTCACACTCCAATTCATTTGCAGTTAGATTCATGACCAGACCGTCACAACTGAAGCCCGTTTATATTCGAAAGCTCTTGCGCCTAGACATTCACGGCGGACAGGTCCGTGCGAATAGATGCACATATGGGGAGCTCCACGCAGTGAATAATTACCTTCGGCCTCCGAGAGCCTCAGAGCCAGGCATAGCAATTTTTTCGCACTCGGCGTTTCCGTCTGGATTCGGGCCACAGGGCAGTCACGGATCGATCCGACTCGAAAAATGCCGCCGAAATATGGGGTCTAGGGCTGCTAGGGTCTAGGGTTCTGGTCGTGATTTGTTGCGACGTTGTTTGTTTCGTCGCAATATCCGAACTCAGGGGGGCTCGGGGCTCCCTTGCGGTGTCCTTGTTTAGTTTGTCTTGAGGGCGCTCATCGCTTGCCGATCTAGTTACAGTTGCCCCCCCACAAGGGGCTCTTCGTGGCACGGCCCTGTCTGTGCAGGGGGTACTTTGGTGCCCGCCATAGCGGGAGCCCTGGGCATGCTTCTGTCCTTAATAATCCCCAATCTCCTGCTCCACTCTTTCCCTGACGCTGTCCCCCCACCTCCCTCCGCATCCACCTCCACACCCTCTCCTCCTCGTGTGCCTGGGAGGGTCGGTCAGAGGAGGAACGAGGAACGAGGAGGATGACGAGGTGGGGAAGCAGGAGGAGGAGGAGGAGGAGGAGGAGGAATTGAGGAGTTGGAGGAGAAGGAGGAGGAGGCCGAGGAGGATGCGGACAAGGAGAAAGGACGGAGGAGGAGTGAGGAAGGTCCGAGGGAAGGATGGTCAAATGGAAAAGGAATGAGGACACAAGGGGAGGAAACATGAGGATGAGAAGGATTAAGCAGAGGAGGGCGAGGGGGAGAAGAGGATGAGGATGAGAAGAAGGACCAGGATGAGGCAGAGGAGGAGGAGGAAGAGGAGGAGGATTGGATGAGGATGCTGATGACGAGGAGGAGCAGGGTAGGCGGAATGCGGGCGATCGATGTGGAGGAGTTTGTCATCTTCCTTGTCTGCCCCTCCCTGCCTGTCCTCCTTGCCCGCCGCCTCCTGCCCCTCGTCGTGCTTCTCCTCTCCGCAGTCGCCGCCGATGTCGTCCTCCGCGCCGTGCCTCGGGATTGAGGGTATGGGTGGATCCTCTTGGGGCCATCCATGGGCAGTGTTGGAGCGCTCTTGGGTATCTTTTGGTGCCCGTGCAAACTCGATGCTGCAACTTCGGCGGTCAGTACTGATCGAAGAAGAAGGCAAGTTCTATTCCCCAAACAATGCTTGCATTAAGGGGCTCGTACTTCTGGTTCAAGGATCTGGACTTGTCTGTCGGTCTGGCGGCTATGTTGTCGCCATTACCGCCTCGTCGGTGCCTGTCGTCTGGGCCTGTCTGTTGGTATGCCCGCTGTGTTGCAGCCGTCGCCGTCACGTTGCCGCCTCGTTGCCGCCCACGATTCCACAACACAGACTGCACCGCGTAAGTTGCGTACACTGCACCGCGTGGATTGCACCGCATTGGTTGCACCACATAGCTTGCCCCACATTGTCTGCACAACCTATAGAGGACCGGATACAAATGTTACCACATAGAGTGCAAACATCGATTGTACCACATGGAGTGCAATGGCATCATGTAGAGTGCAATACATACACATACATACACATATGTAAATATGTGTATATACATATATGGCACCATGTAGGTAGCACCACTTAGACTGCACCACATAGCGTGCAATACCTAAGACTGCGCAACAGATGCTGCACCACGTGGAGCGCACCGCATATTGCACACTATATAAAGCATCACAAATACTGTACCGCGTGGACCGCATCAAACTGATTTCACCACATCGCTTGCACAACGTAGATTGCACCGTAGAGGTTGCACCACATGGACTGGCCAACACATGTTGCGCCACGTAGAATGCTCAACATCTATATTTTATAAAAGTGCCCGCGCGCCAGCGCGGCATGTCCGACGCGCTGGGGAGTCCCAGTCGGTGAGCGTCACCGCGGCCGCACTGGTTGCGCCAAACTGGCTGGCCCCTGTGCGCGCGAGCGTGCGTGCGCAAACGCGCCTGCAGAGAAGCGCCAGCAAGCTGCCAAACAACCATCGCACTCAGTCGCCCCCGCTTGGGTTGTCCAAACCAGGTTGCGGGTAGGTGGATGGGATAGTTGCGCGAGCAGTGGAGTCGACAGCTCGGCGTTCTTCAAAAGTTTGTTGCATCACGTAGACTCATTGGCCCAAGGAAAAATGAGCCTTTCCTCTTTTCTCGCCCGGAATTATAGGTACGTCCACGGACTCTTTACTCCGAGCATGAGTTCATGTCGTCCCAGGGAGTGCCGTTACCGTCCCCTCCCTTCACCCCTGTCAGAATATATCATGCGCGCGCATTCGTTTACACAAATTTTGGAATTTCCAAGAACATTACGCAACGCATTTGGCAATGGCCACATGCGCGCGTCGTCGCGCGCGCGCTCGGCGAGTCCTCAGCAACGTTAGTTTCCGCAGGGGTTTCAAGAACGTGGTCCCTGACGACATATTAATATACATAAGTAGTGGGGATGCTTCCTAGTGTGTCGCGGGCGAGAACAAATCATCGGCGCGCGCTCTCGCGAATTCTTATGGGAGCCTTCTGTTTCTACATGTTCATCAACTGCGACCGAGCGGGCCTCCCGCGCGCGCATGCCCAAATTAATCGAATGCCCTCGTGCGCTTGCGGGCCATCTGTCAACTATCACCATGCGGGCCACTCCCGCACCTCGGCCATGCGCGCGCGTCGAAATCCTCCGAAAAGCTTCATCGCCGACGCGTGAAGAACATCGTCGTCACCAGCGTGACCGCCGTCGGCGCCGGAGTGATTGGCCTCGCCGGAGTCATCGTCGTCATCGTCACCATCTGTGCTACCACGTGTCCACCATGATATTGCGCCCGCCGCGAGTCACGGACTCGCGGCCTGTCGGATGCGCCGGGAAGCCCCCGTCCGCGAGCGGCACCGCGGCTGCGTTAGATGTGCCAGACTGCCAAACTAGCTGGCCGCTGCGCGCGCGCCCCAGCGCGGCTGCAAAAATGTGCCAGCCAGCACCAAACGCAAATTGCAGTTGCCGCCGCATGGGTTTGCAAACCAAGTTGCGGGCTCGCGGGCGGGGCGATTGCGCAAGCAGTGGAATTGGCAGTTCCAAAGCACGTTTTCTAGACTGGGAATGGGATCCTACCCGCAGGGGCGAGGGGGGGGCGCTCCGTCACATGGCGCCACGCGGGCCGCTCGCGCCCGTCGGCCGTGCGCGCGTCGAATTTTTCCACATCCTTCATCGCCGACGCGTGAAAGCCATCGTCGTCATCGGCGTGATTGGCACCGGCGCCGCCATTGACCGCGCCGTCGTCATTTTCACCGTCGCCACCAGCACCGATACTATCGTCATCGCAGCTGCCGTTGTCGACGTCGCCATGATGCCGCGCCCGAATCGGCCCTCTCACTGAATCGCGCACGCGCGCGCGTCGGCGCGGTTTGCGAGACGCGCCCGGAAGACGTCCGCGGCCATCTCCGCGCGCCAGTGTATCCAGCGTCCCTGTGCGCGAGCTTGCGCGCTAGCGCGTCCGCAGTGATGCGCCAGCGCCAAGCAGTCATCGCAATCGCCGCCGCGTGAGTTCTGCGATCCAGGTTGTGGGTGGGCGGGTGGAGTCTAGCGCGAGCAGTGGCGTTGACATCTCATTAGTTGGCATTAGTCAGCTGTCCCAGATAGGTTGCGCTACATGGGTTCAACAACACAGGTTCTTCTTTCTAAATGAGCATGCCCCGCCACTACCTTGGGGCGGGATTCATGAACAATCCATCGCCCCCTATTGCAATTGAGATATATTTGTGCCCCACCGCCCATCCTAACTATGAATCCACACTGTGCCGGCCAGCCCGCGCATGACCCCCCCATTCCGCCGCCATCTTCTGCAAAAATAGATGCTACCTATACGACCACCCTTCGGGTGATGAGTTGGTTGTGGGGGTGGAGGGGGGGAACCAACATCTGACCCAATCAATATCACTATCAATTTCACTCAACGGGACACCACGGGACACCACGGGACACTTGTCGATCTCGTTATCGATCCCATTATCGATCATTCGATCGATCTCATTCAACGGGACACCACGGGACACCACGGGCCACCACGGGACCATCACGGGACACCGCGGGACACCCCGATTTCATGATCGGCCTGACCATCGATCCCAGTATCGATCTCAGCCAACGGGACACCACACGACACCATACGACACCACGGGACACCTCGGGACACCACAACGATTTCAGTATCGACCTCATTATCGATCTCACTATCGATCTCATTATCGGTCTCACTCACAGGGGCACCACGAGACACCACGGGACACCTGTCAATCTCACTATCGATCTCACCTCTTGGGACACCAAGGGACACTTCGGGGAACACCATCGATCTCAGTATCGATCTCACTACCGACCTCACTCAACGGGACACCACGGGACACCACGAGACACCAAGGGACACATGTCGATCTCATTATCGATTTCACTATCGATCTCTTTTTGGGGACATCACGGGACACCTCGGGGCACCACATGGATTCCATCAGGTCTCACTCCACGGGACACCATGGGACACTTGTCGATCTCACTATCGATCCCATTACCGATCTCATTTTTTGGGACACCATGGGACACCTCGGGGCACCACATCGATTTCAGTATCGATCTCATTATCGATCTCATTCAACGGGACACCACGGGACACTTGTCGATCTCACTATCGATCCCACTATCGATCTCAGACACTGGGACACCACGGGACACCACGGGACACTACGGGACACCGCGGGACACCCCGAGCCACCGCCAGACGGGCGGGCGGAGGATAATCAGTTGTGTTGATTTCGCCCAAGCAACCGCGGACACCACGGGACACCACGGGAAACCGAGGTCCACCGCGGAACGGACGGACGGAAGAGAAACATTTGTTCTGGCTTCGCCCTAGCAGCGGCAGGTTCGTTCCTCTCGCGCGCCCACGCAGCTTCGCCTCGCCCGCGCGCACGACACGAACGGAACGAAACGATTCCCCGGCTGGGGGTCTCCGTTCCACTGCGATCTCACCCTTCTAGCCTCCGATGACGCGCGCGCGCTCGTCATGACAAATCATGCGTTGCCACTCGTTCTTTGCCCAAGGACAAGGAGCGAAGCGCACGCGCGTGCGTAGTCGCGCGATCGCCCCGCATTCTTTCACAAACTTTTGCTTTCGTGGAGATGTCAAAATCGAGCGCCCCGTAAACGCACAAAAAACGCATGGCTTTGCATCGCCAGTTTTCGGAGGGAATATGCACTCGCGCTTTTGCGCATTCTTCATCAAATCCTAGGTTCTGCGAGGTGGTCGTCCACTTCGACCAGGCGGGCCTCTCGCGCGCATGTCGAAATCGCTCGAAAGCGCTTGCTTGTTGTTTTGTTTTTTTTTTTGGGGGGGGGGGGCATGCCCTTGGCGTCGGCCGCGCGCCCGCGTCGAGATCTTTTCAGCGCTATCACCGCTGACGCGAGTTCACCATCATCGTCGTCGGCGTGATCGGCATCGGTGCCGTCTTGTGCCATGTCGTCGTCATCGTCAGAATCGTCGCCATCTTCGCCGCAACTGCCACCGCGTCCACCGATATCGACGTCGCCGCGATGCCGTTCCCGCCCAGGCCAACGACTTGCACTGAAATGCCCGCGCGTCAGCGCGGCCACGGAGACGCGCTGGGAAATGCCCAGCGGTCAGCGCCACCGCGGTCGGGTCGGTCGTGCCAAACACACTGGCTGCTGCGCGCGCGAGCCTGCGCGGGCTAGCGCGGCCGCAAAGTTGCGCGAGCCATCGCCGAGCAGTCATCGCAACCGCCGCCGCCGACCAAGTTGCGGGCGGGCGGGTGGGATGATTGCGCGATCAGTGGAGCTCACAATTCCAATCTTGTCAGAATTCATTGCGCTACATAGACTGCACCGCTCAGACTGAACCGCGCAATTGCAAATCATTGATCGGGTCGCATGGATCGCGCCATGTGGGTTGCACAACGTAGATTGCATCACGTTGTTTGCGCAGCATGTTTTGCACCACGCCGATCTCTTTGTTTTGACAAGAGTTCAGGATATACCCCTCCCCTGCGCTCCGCGGTTCCCCGTGGCGTCGTACGATTTACATGCGAAGTTGCCCCATCGTTCATTCTGTGTATGAGCCATACCATCGCGGGGAGTGCAGTTATCGCCCCCCTCTCGCCCCTGTCAAATACAAAAAATGTCACATGCAAAATATGCGCGCGCACTTGTGTATCACGAATCGTCGCCTTTTTCAGGAACCCCTTGCAACATATGAGACAAAGTCCACGCGCGCGCGCCGTCGTGCACGCGTGCCCGAATGTTTCGAAAACGTGGATGCTCGTAACGGTTTCCAGATCGAGCTTCCCGACTTTGTATAAACACAATGGTTTGCCTTCATTTGGGATTGAACAGATAACAATGCGAACTCTCACGAAAGCCACCAGCTGTACATGACATGTGCGTCAGATGCGCCCGAGCGGGCCTCTCGCGCGCGCGATAATGCAACGCGTGCCACCCGCGTTCGTCGGTCGCGCGCGCATGTCGGCATCTTTCCGGAACCCTTATCACCGCCGACGCGTGGACGCCATTCTCGTCATCTGCGTGCTCAGGTTTTGCGCCACCATTGGCCTTGTCGTTGTCCTCGTCCTCATCGTCACCAGCATAGTTGGTATCATCATCGTGTTTGCCGAAGTCGTCGTCGCCATCACACCGCGCCCGCCAAAGTTACCCACTCGCACTGAACCGCGAGCGCGTCAGCGCGGCTTGCGAGACGCGTGGGGGGGTTGTCTGTGGTCAACGTCACGGCGGCCGCGTTGGTCGCAGTCATCGCAGTCGCCACCGCATCGGTTTTGCAAACCAGTGGGCGGGAGGGGTGATTGCGCGAGCAGCGGAGGTGACAATTCCTGGCGAACAAAAATTACATGCAGCACGTAGATTGCACCACATATGTTGCATAACGTAAATTACTCAAGCGCGCTGTTGTGGGTGCGCGGTGGCCAACATAAGCATGCATGTCGGAGGTCCGCGCGGATTTTTTAGATCGGTGCTGGGCCCCCGTGGTGGCGCCTCCTGCCTCGCCCATGGCAACTTCTGCGCGCCAGGGACCGGGGGCCAGCGCCGATCCAAGAAATTCGCGCGGAGCTCGTGTCTTCCAGGCAATTTGTTCTCTAAATACCATTCGTGCTCTGATTGGTCTGGGGGCCGCAGTGGTTCTTCCCCGAGGTCGGCGTCGGGGGGGCGAACATCGAGAAGATCGAGGAGGAGTCCTGGGCCACCATCGAGATCGACAGGTTTGGGCGCTGGAGGGGCTCCGACCCCCGACGACATGATTTTTCCACAAATGTCGACCCCCGGGGGTCTCGACCCACTGCCAGGGACCAGCTTGTCATCCCGCGTCGTTTTGAAATAGTGGCAGGGCCCAGCGAGGGCACCCAGAGGCCGAACGTAGCAAAAACCTTCTCGTCGCGACGCACGTGATTTTCTTCAACGCAGCGCTTTCCCGGCCAGCATGGCAGCAACACACATTTTCCTGGCGTGATTCTTGCAAGACTCGCGGGTTGTGTGGCGGCGGTCATGCCTGTTGGGCGCCCAGCAGCGGGGCCCGCAGAGGACTGCGCACCGCTTCAGTTCTGGGCGGTGTTTCTGCACCTGGCGTGTTCGCCCGGTCTCGAGCCCTGGGGACATCACAGATCAATTTGGCTTCAAAAGTGCCGCAGACTGATGGGGTATGGGGGTCGGGCCGTGATTTTCTGCGATGTTGTAGTTTTGTTCCCGCCGTCGGATCTCAGGGCCCGTCGCGGAGTCCGTGCGGGAGACGCGGGGCCGCTTCAGATGGAGCGGCTCACGCGGGCGGTGTCAGGAGCCAAGTGCTCCACCAGAGACCCAATGGAGATTTTTAAATGCGGGTTCCCCCGAAATCCCGACCCTTTCCCTGCCAGGTCTGCATCCTGAGTAGTTTATTTGGTGGTCCCGGGGCCCAGCGAGGGCCCCCAGCGTCCTGAATTTCTCGAGGCGTTGTCTGAAACAGATCTCCATCCCTACGACTGGCATGGCCTTGTCTCGGCGCCTAGTTTCTGAGGGCACATCCCAAAGACTGTCATCGCCTTGGACTTGTCTATATTCTGAATCGGCATGCGCCCATGGCAGGGTAAGATGGCCTTCCTCGGGGCAGACCTTGTGGCACACTGCGGTCTCCCGGCCAATCTGGAGTCGAGGGCCAGCGTGCACCATGTGCGCTGGGCGGGCTTGTGCGGAGGCTTGGTGGTAGTGGTGTGTATCTGTCGCGTGTGTATGTGTATTTGTGTGTGTTGTGTGTATGTGTGTGTGTGCGTGTGTGTATGTGTGCGTGTGTGTGTTGTGAGTGTGAGTATGTGTCCATGTTTGTTTGTGTGTACGTTGTGTGTGCATGTGTGTGTGTGTGTTTGCGTGTGCGTTCTCTTTCTCGAGTCGGACAAGCGTCGCATGTTTTGTACACCGGGCGTGTTCGCCCGGTTTCAGGCCCAGGGATCATCACAGGTCGATCCGGTTTGAAATATGTTACAGAAAGATGGGGTCTAGGGGTCCAGTCGTGATTTTTCGCCATGTAATTGTTTCGCAGCGTCGGATCTCGGGGAAGGGTCGGGAAAGGGGGGGAGTTCCAAATCTGTTACGTGCTGCTGGTTCCGTCCTAGCCGCCGAGCCTTGCTCCTCAACACGGGCGCCTCCTGGCGCCCGGGAAACCAGCCACGTGAGCTGATCTGCTACCCTCCCACTTTGCTGTCCGACCTGGTCCCTCCTGGCAGGGCGTGGAGGGATACCAGCAAGAAGATGGTGATGCTGGAGATCCCTAGAAGGCCTGCGCCACTCCGGGGGTCGGGGGCGGCTGGCGAGGCACCAGCGCCGGTCGTGGCTGGACGAAGCCCTGGGCCCAGGATCGAGTGGGCTATATACGCCAAGGGCGGGCGGCCCGTGACGGCGTGGTGCGATACTGCATTGTAGGCGAAGTCGGTCCGTGACTATGCTTGCGGTTTTTCAGAAGGCCTTTGTTTGCGCGACCAGTGCCCGCATCGGAAATAGATTGCCGCAGAAGCCAGATTCCAGACCGCACTGCTAATTGGCCACATCGCTTGCCTGGCCCTGGGTACGCGCTGTTAGCCTGGCCAGGAGCTTTTGCAGGCTGGCCGATTCTGAATCCAAGAATGGGCCTAGCCAGGATCGGCGCAGGTGCATGATTGACATGCCCAGCCGAGGGAGGAAAGTGGGTTGCGAACTCGCCCCCCATTCGACCTCCTTCCCCAACGGACTTTTGGGCTCCCCTGCTGGAGTTCTGCGGAAAATCCTTGAGGCCTCGCGCGGGGCGCAATAATGGTATTATTCCACACGTCCGCTCCGTCAGATTTGGGACGACGTTCGGGCGGCGACGGTCCGACTGAAATCCGACGCAAATCCGAGGTGAATGCGACGTGAATCCGACGTCGATTGGGTCTCAAGCTGCCACGCGATGCCTTGAGGATGTTCCTCGTAACAGGAGACGGCCAGACCTCTTGCACACCCTGTGCCACCCCTGGCAAGGGGGCAGGCGGATCTCGGGGGGCCTCGAGGCAGTCGTCCAGGCCCGAGGGCTGGTCCAGGAGCTCCTGGCGAGGGTGCCGCAGGCGCCGCCGCCAGCGCCGCCGAAGCGCCAGCCCTGGAAGAGGTTCGGGGGCATCCAAACGGTGTGGTCATCAGGTCGCGTGTGAATCAGTGGTGGGGGCTCGGGGTCACCGCACGGTTTTGGGACTCGGGCCGCCCTCCGTGCGGCGAGGGCCCGCGCCGTGAGGTCTCCTGGGATCTCGGGATCACCGCGCGGTCCGTCACCGCACGGCTTGGTGGCCCTCCCCAGAGGCAGGAGAGCTGGGGCGAGGAGCCGGAGCGGGCCCCGAGCAGCCACAAGCGCAAGTGGACGCCGGGCGCCGACGCGCGAGATGGCGGCGAGGCCGGCGGCGCCAGGCGCCGGGCGTCCCAGCTCGGGTGCTGCTACAAGGTTCAGCGGGGGATGGGCTCAGGGGGGGAAACATGGGCAACGCTAGGGCAACGATCGATTTTGCTGGCTTTCGCACATGTTTTGTTGGGTCCTGGAAGTCTTCCTGCCTCGGGATGCTCTCTGTGAGCTGCGCTTCGCCGAGGGCGCACAGTGGGGGGCCCAGATCGCCCCGGGCCGCCAGAGGCTCGAGTTCAGGACCGAAGATGACGGGGGGATGCAGCGGTCCCCAATCACCCATTCATAGCCGACAGGGAGCCGATGGCCCGCCGCGCCCAGGCACCTTGGGGATCCGCCATCGGGCGCCTATCGCCGACGCTTCCCCCCTGAGCCAGTCCCCCCTAACGTTGCCCCTCAAAGGGCCAGGGCTCCGTGAGATCCGACGCTCTGCTTTTTTCAGCACGAGGGTCCCCGGAAGTTCCGACCGCTTCCCAAAGGGTAGTTTCCCGTCCTGGATCCATGTTTGATGGTCCCAGGGCCCAGTAGCGGGCTCACGAGGCCGAAATCGAGGGCAAAACGCCAGATGCAGGAGTCACATCGTGGAAGAGCTGGAACTGTAGCAACACCCGACCAGCACGCGCCTCCGTGGCGAGGTGCCGACAGGTGACCGGGCGGGGTGTGTGCGTGTTGCTGGCGGCGGGCGGCCCTCGCGCGGCGCCGCCGCCGCGCGCGTCGTGTGCAGGTGGCGGAGTGCGCGCGGCAAAGGAGGCGAGAGTGGCAGTCGTCGGGGGTCGTCCGTCGAAGAAGGTCTGGGGTAGCGCTTAGCGATGGGCTCACCAGGGGCGGCCAAGAGGGGGTTGATGACTAGGGGAGGTGGGTCCCCCGGTCTCATGGCCCCTTCTCATTTTCTTCTTTCAGCACGTCTCCAGGCCCCCACCCTCGTCCGCGCACATGCCTCGGGCCATGATTTGCGACGCCCCCCCCCCCTCTTAGACGCCCCCCCCTCGGGGACTCCCCCGAGCTTGGGGGATGTAATTATCGGCCCCGACCCCCTATCGCCGGTGCTTCTCCGAGAGGGGATCGATGGCCCCAAATTTCCCCAGGAGCGTGGGTTTTCGCTATCGGCGGGGAGGGAAAGGGGGATGGAAAAGAAGGATCCTGACCCAGTCGAAACGAGAGGGATGGAGAACAGAACAGAAGGAGCGAGGGAGGGCGGGAGGGTCAGGGGCAGCGTCGCAGGGGGGAGGGTGACTCGCCCAGGGGGGGAAGCATCCCACCTCCCCGTGCGGCATGTTCGCGCAGTGTCTGCGCGGCTGCGACCCCGCGAGGGGGGGAGGGAGGGTCAGAGGCAGCGGCAGGGGGGGGGCTCGCCCAAGGGGAAGCATCTCCTGATTTCCCCCCTCTCCGTACGGCACGGCGCGTTCGTGTCGTGTCGACGCGGCCGCGACCCCGCCGCGGGCGTTCCAGGTTGAACGCCGCCTGTGGCCTGTAATCGGCCAATACAGGACGATCTGGCGATCGCCAATCGTAGAAGGTTGAGCGATCCACGCGGTGTCGGCAGCCAACTGCGAAGTCGTCATGACACGAAACCGCCGTACCCCGGCCGGGCGCAGGAGCGACGAGGTTGGCGCGAGGTCGGCGTCGTCGACCAGGTGCGCTGGGCGTGCCGTCAGGCCTGGTCGGGGCCCCACGCGCCGTGCCGCTGTGCGGGCGCCTTTCCGCTCGTCTTGCATGGAACTGATCTCGGCGAGTAGTTCCCAACAGCGCGCGCACCGCGTCCAATAGCGACGAGTTCGTCAAGGTGTGCAGCAGGAACAACCGATCGTAGGTTCTAATTTGGAAAAACGTGAGACTCAGGAAGAAACCGAATAGCACGAATAACGGCAACACAAAGTACGGAGAGTTTACATGTTCTTCGAAAGAAGTGATTCCAAAGCGCATCCAGGACCAGTAAGCCCATGCGCACGACGGCAAACATGTGCTCACTGCGCCGCTTGCATGAAGGGTGCGCCTGCAGTCGTGGCTCGTGGTTGCTGGCTCCCACAGAGCCCAATAGCCCTCAATAGTGCCTCAATAGCGCCCAGCTGCGCCCAGTAGCGCTCAAACGCGCCCCATAGCGCGCAAATGGCGCCCAATACCGCACAACAGCGCCTGATAGCGCCAAGCAACGCCAAACAGCGCCCAGATGGCGCCCACTAGCTGGACGCGATAGCGGCCGCTATGTGTACCCGTCTGGTGGGTGCTCGTAGGTCATCGCGGTCTCGCGGCCCAGACTCGTCGGCCTCAACTTGTGCATAGGTTGCTGGAGATCCGGGCGTTGCATTTTCTGCACTGGGCGTTTTCGCCCAGTTTCGGGCCCCGAAGCCATCACAGATCGATCTGGCTTGAAGAATGCAGCAGAAAGGTGGTGCCTTAGTGTTCTGTTCGTTGATTTTTCGAGATATTGTGCTTCTGTTCGCAACGTGATCTCAGGGCAGATTGTTCACTGTTTTCAGCCTCCTGGAACCCCGCCGGGTCCCAATACCGTCAAAATCCGACTCAGGATGAGAAGCCGGCCTTGGGCAAAGAAGGCCAGAGTTTCAGGGGGGCCCGTAGTTATATTGAACAAGTCAGGGCATCGGATCTCTGTTAGGGTGGTGGGTGGGAGGGCGGGAAGCATTCGGGAAGCGTAAGATTCGAGTTGGCCAGAGCTCGGGTTTCCCATGTTTTTGTTGACGGTTCCGTCTTGGTTTCCTTTTATTGTCCAGTTTTCGTATATGTTTACGGCGGCAGATCACGCCACATTTCAGATTGGGTCTCGTCATTCCCTAACAGCGTTTCGTTCGATGGTTCCCATAGTGGTTAAGTCAGTTTGTCGAAGGAGGCAACCATTTGCAGCTGCGAGTAACGTAGGCAGCGCTCCGCGAGAGAGATGGAGCACGGGGCAACGCGGATGGAAGCGCCGAAACGTGTGCGGGGTGTGCCTGAGAGGGCTGGGGGACGAATGCGGCCGCTGACACTCGGACCTTCGGCGGAGCTCCCTATGGGCCACGAAATATGTGAGGGGGGGTGTCAAAATAGGCAGAGGAAGGCATGCGAACCCTGCCACTTGGGCCTTCGGTGGAGCTCTATTTGGGGCCGCGAGGCGTGTGAGGGTCTGCCGAATTGGAGGCGACTCTGCCATGCGAACCCTGCCGCGGAGGCCTGCAGTGGAGTTCCCTATGGGCTATGGAGCCACGAAGCGTGCGGTGTGTGTGTGTGTGTGTGTGTGTGTATGCCGAAATGAGGCCGGGCCGCCATGCGAACCCTGCCACTGGGGCCTTCGTTGGAGTCCCATATGGAGCCACGAAACGTGTGAGGGGTGTGCCGCAATGGGGCGGGCCTTCGGCGGAGCTCCCTATGGGCCACGAAACATGTGAGGGGGGTGTCAACATAGGCAGAGGAAGGCATGCGATCCTTGCCATTCGGGCCTTCAGTGGAGCTGCCTATGGGGCCACGAGACGTGTGAGGGGTGTGCCGAAATTGGACGGGGCCGCCATGCGAACCCTGCCTCTGGGGCATTCGGTGGAGCTCCCATATGGGGCCACGAACCGTGTGAGGGGTGCGCCGAAATGAGGGTGGAATTGCATGCGAATCCTGTCGGTGAGGCCTTCGGTGGAGCCCCCTATGGGGTCACGAACCGTGTGAGGGGTGCGCCGAGATGAGGACCTTCGGTGGAGCCCCCTCTAGGGCCACGAACCGTGTGAGGGGTGCGCCGAGATGAGGGTAGAACTGAATGCGAACCCTACCACTGGGGCCTTCGGTGGAGCCCCCTATGGGGCCACGAATCGTGTGAGGGGTGTGCCGAAATGAAGGTGGAACTGCATGCGAACCTTGCCAGTGTGACCTTCGGTGGAGCTCTTTTTGGGGCCACGAACCTTGTGAGAGGGGCACTGAAATGGGGGCGGAATTGCATGCGAACTCTGCCGCTGTGGCCTTCGGTGGGATTCCCTGTGGGGCCACGAACCGTGTGAGGGGTGTGCCGAAATGAAGGTGGAACTGCATGCGAACCCTCCACTGGGGCCTTCGATGGAGCTCCATATGTAGTCACGAACCGTGTGAGGAGTGCGCCGAAATTCCCATTCGGGCCAATTCGGGCCGTGGTACACGAACCGTGTAGTCAAGATCCTTGACATTCGGGCCTTCGGTGGAGCTGCCTATGGGGTCACGAGTCGTGTGAGGGGTGTGCCGAAATTGGACGGGGCCGCCATGCGAACCCTGCCTCTGAGGCCTTCGGTGGAGCTCCCATATGGGGCCACGCACCGTGTGAGGGGTGCGCCAAAATGAGGGTGGAACTGCATGCGAATCCTGTCGCTGGGGCCTTCGTTGTTGCCCCCCATTGGGCCACGAACCGTGTGATGGGTGCGCCGCAATGCGGGTGGACATGCATGCGAACCCTGTCTCTGGGGCCTTCGATGGAGTCCCCTATGGGGTCACGAACCGTGTGCGAGGGGGGCCGAAATGGGGGTGGAATTGCGTTGCGAACCCTGCCACTGATGCATTCGGTGGAGCTCCCTATGGGGTACGAACCGTGAGGGGTGCTGAAGTGAGGGTTGAATTGCAGTTGAACCCTGTCACTTGGCCCTTCGGTGAAGCTCCCATATGGGGCCACGAACCGTGTGAGGGGTGCGCCGAAATGAGGGTGGAATTGCATGCGAACCCTGTCGGTGAGGCATTCGGTGGAGCTCCCTATGGGGCCACAAACCGTGTGAGGGGTGCGCCGAGATGAGGGTGGAACTGCATGCGAACTCTACCAATGTGGCTTTCGGTGAAGCTCCTTATGGGGCCATGAACCATGTGAGAGCGGCACCAAAACGGGGTCGGAACTGCGGTCGATGGAGCTCCCTATGGGACCACGATGGAGTTCCCTATGGGGCCACGGGGGGTGCGCCGAAAAGAGGTCGGAACTGCATGCGAACCCTGCCACTGGGGCCTTCGATGGAGCTCCCTATGGGGCCACGAACCGTGTGAGAGGGTGCGCCGCAATGCGGGTGGACATGCATGCGAACCCTGCCTCTGGGGCCTTCGACGGAGCCCCCTATGGGGTCACGAACCGTGTGAGAGGGGGGCCGAAATGGGGTCGGAACTGCATGCGAAGTCTGCCGTTGTGGCCTTCGGTGGAGCCCCCTATGGGGCCACGAACCGTGTGAGAGGTGCGTCGAAATGAAGGTGGAACTGCATGCGACCCCTCCACTGGGGCCTTCGGTGGAGCCCCCTTCTGGTGTCACGAACCGTGTGAAGGGTGGGTGCGCCGAGATGAGGGTGGAACTGAAAGCGAACCTTACCATTGGGGCATTCGGTGGAGCCCGTTATGGGGCCACGCATTGTGTGAGGGGTGCGCCGAGATGCGGGTGGAACTGCATGCAAACCCTGCCATTGGGGCAACGAGCCGTGTGAGGGGTGCCCCGAAATGATGGTGGAATTGCATGCGAACCCTTCCACTGCGGCCTTCGGTGGAGCTCCCTATGGGCCCACGAAACGCTGTGGTGGGTATGCCGAACCCGAAGCATGCGAAGGGCAGAGGCAAGGAGGGGGAGAATGGGGAGGAGGAGGAGAGGAGTGGAGAGGAGAGGAAGGACTTGCGGGGCGTTGTCTTTTCAAAACGAGGACCCAACACCACAGGATTGTTGGGAAACAACATCATTCACTGCGTGGAGCTCCCCATACGTATGTGCATCTATTCGCATGGACCTGTCCGCCGTGAACGTCTAGGCGCAAGAGCTTTCGAATATAAACGGGCTTCA